ACATGAACAGGCGGCAGCGGCGGCAAGCTGCGTGAAGCTGCTGCGGGTGGTGCTGGCGTCTAGCTGCTCTTTCGGGAGTCCAAGCTGATGTCGTTTTTCATCTACAACAACAACATGGGTCTTACTTTGAGAGATTATGGTGCAATCTAGAGCTGGCTACTTTTGCTCGGCATGGAGGTGTGGAGAAGGTTGATGTGTTGCCTCTTTGGCTTGCTCCCTGGCTGCTTTGCTGTATTTCCCTCGAGCTCCTCAGTGCCAGCTTGATGGATCTTTCTCAGCTTGTGTTCCCCAGATGGCTGCTGATTATGGACAACCATATCATGGGGCTCGCTGCGACACTTCTGGGAGGCAGCCCAGTCTTGCTGCAATTTGTCGGTTGGCTCGTCATCTGGATGACGTCATCGATCGCAACGCTTCCGGCCTCTATACCCAGCTTCTTCTCGTTCCGCATGAAGATTCGGCATCACCAGCTTATCCTGGATCAAATGGCAGACTTCGACGTGAGGGCGGCAAAGTGTTCTGAGCCCTCGGACAGGGATGCCATCGAACGACAACTGCAGGAGGTGTTTCGTGAGCAGGACTTGCCCGGGGCGTCTTTCGGTCTCGGTTCTAATGCCGTGGATGAAGGGGAGGTGAAAGTTCAGCGGTTTGAGAGCTACCAGGCCACCGGTGATCCGCTGGACCGCTTCAATGCCTACGTTCGAGGTGTCCTTCGCGACATTGTCATGATGCAGATCGGCGATGAAATCTACGTACCATGGCCGCTGTGTCTGACTACCAGCCTGCCTATGATCTTGTATTCCTCAGTGAACGTGCTGGGCTGCGACAACGGCTCTTGTGAGGAATCTGCGCGTGTGGCAGGTGCTTCCTCGATGCTTCAATACATGCTGGCCAATGTGATCGGCTGGACGCTCAACATTCTGCTGACATTCCCACTGACCTATCCGGTCATGCTGCGGATGCTGAAGTGTGTTCTGTCCTTCGGCGACGGTCCGGTGCAGCGCTGTGCAGCTTTCTTGTGTTGCTTTCTGGCTTATGAGTACACGTACATATGTGGCGGCTTGATCTGGGGCTCATGGATTCCTGCTGTGCAGGACCCCTCGCCAACTCAGCTCACAGTTTTCCTTTTGGTGATCGCTTTCTTGGTCATCCAGTGCATTTGTTTGTTTTACAGGTGGGAGAGTCAAGGTCAGAAACACCAGTCATCATGTCGCTGTGTCCAACGACAAGTCGCGACGTATCAGCCCGTGGAAGCCGCAAGTGGCTTACCGTCGGCCTTCCTCACGGAAGCCGATGGCAGTAGTCACCAAATGCTTAGCATGGAGAGGACGGACTGTACCTTGAAGCTTTTGATGTGGTTTGGGTGCCTGGTGTAGTCTTGTTGTACTAGCAATTGACTGGAACTATACTGAAGGCACTTTAGTAACAACCCCGAGGGTCCACCGTGCAGCCGCCTCTGGTGCTCTTCGTGTACATGCTGCAGAGGTCAGATGTGAATTTCCTCACCTCCTGTCTGCATGTTCATTTGCGTTTCACCAATCACACAAGGACCTGCAGTCGAAGCAGCGTCTGCAGTACATCCGACATCCGTATTTTCAATGCGTGGTGTCAATAAGGAATTCTGTGGTTCGTTGGGTATCTCCTGAAGTTTGGCCGCAAAGAGCCCAACCTTACGACATTCAATTTCGAGCGTGCCCTTATCGATTTCTGCATGGCTCCAAGAGTTTATAGTTTAGCCTCTGCTTCTTTGCTTGGCTTATCGTTGCCTCGCCTGGCTGGTCCGAGTTGTGCAAGCCTTCTTTTTCCTCGGTTATGTACCTTTATAGTGTACCCCAAAACCCTGTTCTAATTCTGAGGGCCCCTATAGAACACCCTTACAGAGCCCCTGATAGAACCCGTCAGCGGAACTCTTTGCGAAAGCGCCATAGCAGCAAGCTTGCTCCTTCATGAAGCGGAGAGGTCGAGCTGCTTTGCACCCCCATAGGGGATGAGGGCACGCCGAGTGAGGACCGCTCCCACCGGCAGCATCAATGCATCTTCACTTAAGTGTGGAGGGCTTTGTGTCTTCTGTCGTTTGGACATGACCTAAACCCTAAACCCTTAAATCCCTAAACCATGGAGTCCAGTAACAGAAAGGTGTGTTGTCGTCATGGTCTAGGGCTCATTGCTTATGATGATTATGGTGAAGGTCACTTGGCTAAACCAAAAAAAAGGAACTACGATGGATACTATAGGTCTGATTGTCTTGAAATGCGAGGATGCGCACTGATCGCGTTGGCCCTGGTGGGTATGTACATGGTTCTCAAGGTTTAGGGGTCCGTAGGAAGATGTATGAAGAAGAGGAGGTACACAATGTGGAGTAGCAAGTTTAGTAAAGAGTCTTGAGAAGATAACGATCAAAGACAGGGAGTGTCATGGAACCTCAAGACCTGCTGCGATGTTGAAGATTGAATAGAAGCAAGTTTGAATCGACACCTTAGACCACTTGGAACCCTAGCCGTTGAAACAGATGTCATCTTTAGTCCTCTGTGGTGCTACTTTCCGTTCGGAGTTGCCCTAAACCATAAAGTCGAAACGCATTTCGAGTCGAGATTTTCTTCAGGATTCCCCAAGATGCGCGGCGATTTGTTCTTGCAGCATTCGGCCTTGTTTGGCCGACGACGTGATCGGCTAAGGGTTTCGGGCTTATTGGGCCTATAGGCCCTAAACCCTAATACAACCCCAAACCCTAAGCCTTAGGGCTTAGAGTTTAGGGCTATCAGCCTCGCAGTCCCAACGAGTCAGCCGTCCTGGCGTGACGTCGCAAGCCAGTTGCAAAAGGGTTTAGAGTTCAGGGCTTAATAAGGTTTAGAGTTTAGGGTTTCAGGTGTTGCAGTCCGTGCTCAACAGAGAGGTTTACAGTTTAGGGCTTACGGTTTTTGTCGGTTGCTGGGTGACGTGGATATCCGGCAACCCGAAACAGAAGATTCCTCGAGCCCTTGTGTCCGAAAGCCACGACCTCAAAGCCCTTACCGAAGCTGCTTAAAGGATCATGGGACTTAGTAAGTAGGATAAGTCCCTTAATTGGGGTTATAAGTTATAAGTATAGCTCCCCTAATTATAACCCTACTTACTAAGTCCCATGATCCTCTAAGTGGGCAGGCTGTGCCCGAGACTTCCCTGCTGCAACCCCTAGAGCCTACAGAACCGGCAATCCTGCGTAACCCTAACCCCCAAACCCCAGACCGCCTCTTATCCCCACTTACCCTAAACCCTACGTACCCTACAGCACATAACGTGCCAGAAGCCTCGCCGGGCTTGTCACAGGTGCAAGTGCTGTGACATTCGGATTATATCCCCAAAACAAGCCGACCGATCGGCCGAAAGGAGCAGCAAGCCGATGCCGAGGCTGCCATCAGCGCTGCTGAGCCGCTGGCCTGTGAAGGATTTCTGGGTTTTTGAGGACTGCGAGGACGCTCGGGGAGAATACCAGTAGACTGCTACTGACTGCAGCTACTCAGCTACTCCCACTTCTTTTACTGCTATACCTAAACCTCAATCAACCGTAACTTTAACCTCCTTTCTGGGCTTAGTCCCCCTTTTGTTCGATTATCGCATTATTTTCCTTCGGCCGTGTAGATGTGATCGGGCGGGATCACTGTCGTAACTATCTTCGAGGGCCTTGGAGCATTGTAACATCCTTGTCGGTCAACGCGCCGACCTTTTGCAATCGCTGCTGGGGCCGAGTCTTGTACTTTAGATTATCGGGCTGGGGTGAGGTGATGGTTTGTCTGTGTTTTCGCTAATAACTTTGTGGTGCAGCGGTGATTGCACACTAGTTTGGCAGAGGAGAATCTAGTGGGACACAAGACCTCGTCTGGCGGAGTCCGAGTTGCGAGAGTGTAAACCCCAATCAACCCCTTACCGCCCTAAGCCTTTAAGCCCGGACGCGGAGAGGTCAATTATGAGACACCGAAATCACCCAAAACCTCGATGAGTTGCCGGTTGAGGTTTTTAAGCTGCGATGTGACTGGCGAAGTTTCGTCAAACCAAGGCAGTCGGTGCGCGATGTCGAGGAAGCCTTGACGTTCGCAAGGGGTCGGCAAGGGGGCGTGGCCTCGAACCCTGAGGCTTCTGGGTTTAGGGATTAGGGGCTAGGGAATAGGGTTTAGGGGTTACATAGGGTTTAGGGTTTAGGGGTTGGGGTAGGGGTGCAGGATTGGCTTTGTATATGGATTCGGTGAGGATTCTCGAAAAAGAGTGGTGCATTTCTTCTTCTTCGGGGCTTGGTCACAAGCATCCTGCCACGCGCAGGAAGTTGGGAGGATGTGTGGTTTGGAGTGTCGAATGCTCGCTGGTGGTGCTGCTGCTGCCGCTGCTTCAATTACCCTGTATTATCGCCCTTGCTCATTGTTTTTCTGTGTGTTTTCCGTCTGAAAGATGCTCCTCCTCTGCACGGGTGTCCTTATGATCCGCATGGTCGTGATCGCCATAGTCATCATCTTCAGCATCATCAGATTCGCCGTTTGGGTTGCCATGCTGCATTTTGACAGTTTGAGCACATCGACGGCTAGATGTCTTTGCCACACAGTAGCAGTTAATCAAGTCTTGTCAGACGCAGTAATCAGCCACAGCACAGCCCAGGTTGCAAGCCCTTGTTTTTGCGGCGTCACGCCGACTCAAACCTGCGAGACCTCGCCTTTCTAGTCCGAGTTGTGAGAGCGTAAACCCCAAAGCCTCAAACAGGCACAGCAGACCTCGAACCACATGCCTCGCCTGGATTGTCCGAGTGTGAGCGCCGAGACAGGCACCCAAAACCCCTAAACCCTAAACCCCAAATTCAAACTTCAAGCGGAGAATTACCAAACCTCGAGAAGCTGCAACATCAAAAGCATGGCAGGGCCACACCAACAACAGGACCCTACGGCCATAAAAGCCGAAAGACCCTAAACCCTACTATCCAGGCGGAGAAGAGGTCCCAAAAAAAACCTAGACCCAAACCGTAAGCCCATAAAATTTACAAGACTGCTCTGGAGGCGGAGGAGGCGCTGCTGCAGCTGGAGGCTGCAGCGTTGGGGGTTGGGGAGTTCAGGGGTTTTAATATCGAGTTTTTCAAACTTTCAGGTTTCGGGTGCTTTAAAAAAGCTTGGGAGGCTTTTCGCTCAGCTCGGCTTGAAGCTGACGGCGGGACTATACTACACAGGTCTGGTTCCATGTCCTTTCTAGGGTTTAGGGTTTGTAGGTACGAGTCAGCTGTCCTGGCGTGACGTTGCAAGCCAGTGGCAAAAAGGGTTTGTAGGTACTCTATGCCCTTAACCCTGTAGACCGAGTTGCTTCACTTGCATGAAGAGTTACAGTCATGCGGCCATGGTTTCGCAACGTGTGTGCCAGGTTCGCATCCAAAACTGTCGAGGCCATGATCCTAGAGTTTGGGATATGAGTGTAGGATTTGGGGATTTAGGTGATTTGTTGGACTAGCAGTTAGATGCGCTCTGCATCAGAGTTTCAGATTCTAACAGGTATTTTCTTGGTTGCGTTGCTTGGGTTTGGGATCTATGGGGTTCAGATGTGCAGATTTAAGATTTAGGCTTCAGTCACTCCGGCAGATTGAAGTTTTTCCGGCAATTGAGCTAATCCCTAAACGCCAAACCCTAAACCCTGAGCCTTCAGCTTACAGAGCAGATAGAACAACATGAGGTCTTTGTAAATTCCGAAATCCCAGGTCTAGATTTTGTCACTGAACCCGGAATGCCAATCACTTAATCCTAAACCCTACACGCAAAGAACCCTTAACCCTAAACCGTGGAGGTGTTTGAAGCTAGGCCCAGGGCTGCAAGGCTTTTAGAGTTTCGGCTTCACATCTTCCAGTCTGTCCCGAACCCCAGGCACCTAAACTGCGATCGGTAGTCACACTAGGATTTTTGTTCGAGCCCCTGTTATCTTACACTCACATGCTACCGCCATGACATTGCTGCACGGTTGTTACTGTCGGCATCACTGCAATGCTGCCGCCAGCGAGGGTGCAGTCAAGCCCGAGGCCTACACAACACTTCAACCCTTGATAAAACCCTCAGCCAAAGTATCGAGTTGAACAAGACCTTGGGGTTAAATGAGTGTATCCCACACTATTCCACAGTATCGTGTGTCGCAACTAAAGCACGATTTAGCGCTAATTTAACAAACAACCCTCCGAAACCGGGAGCTTGCTACGAATGCCGTTGCAGGTGTCAAGGTTTTTTCGCCACTAGTGAGTCACTAGTGACTAGTCCAAATCATGGTACCTTTTGCGGCCCTTATTCTGGTGGTCTGGGACCACTTTCAGAAAGTAGTGCCGCAGTTTGAGAGTTTAATTTAGCAGTTCCGCGACAAGAAGATGTGAAGATCTCCTGAGTCCTAAATCTTCGGAACTGACGAATCTAGAGTTCTTCCTGCCCCAGCACCTCGTGCAAGACACCACTCTCCCAAACTTGCACTCAGGAGGCCTGCCCAAACCAAACCTCTATTACCCCTATCATGAGGGTAGTTTTCAAGATGAGGGTCCCTTTTGGGGTCTCTTTATATAAGGGTGCCGTACTATATTGGGGACCTAAAAAGGGACCCTAATTTAGAGAACTACCCAAGAGTAATCTTTGAACGAACCCTGTAAAATGCTAGTCTAGAGCCCGTAGACCGGGGACAACCCTTAAATTACAGAGCCGAATCCTTCAATAGAGCCCACACAGAAGCCTTCCGGCTGCCGCTACAGGGTGCAGAGTTTAGCCTCGCACCAAAAACCCTTCAGGCTTAAGGCTTCACGCATATAGGTTTTTAAGGGTTTAGGGTCCCTATATCGGTTTAGTTTTTAAGGGTTTAGGGTCCCGATATCGGTTCAGGGTGTAGGGCTCAGGGTTTATGGCTTGAGGGTTTTAGGGTCCCTATATCGGTTTAAGGTTTAAGGGCGTAGGCCCCCTATATCGGTCTAAGGTTTAGGGCTCAGGGCTTAAGGTCTAAGGGTTCTAGGGTCCCTACATCGGTTTAAGGTTTAAGGGTTTAGGGTTAGGGTTAGGAACCACAGGCCGTGATGCAAGGATTTGGCTAGTCCCCAAGGCCAGTTGCAAAAAAGGGCTCCTAACCCTACCCTAAACCCTAAACCCTAAACCCTAAACCCTAAACCCTAAACCCTACACCCGCGGCCTGAGACGGAAAAGGGTCGCTCAAGACAAAAGTCCGGGCCCTGAAGACGTGCTGTAGAAGCCGGAAGACTTGCCAACATCATTTCTTAGGGCTCTCATTACAGATATGTGTATATATAATATATATATATATATATAATATACACATGTGGAGGACTTCATGATTAGAATAGGGTTTTGGGGTATCTTATACTCTAGTAGAATATACCCCCCCAAAACCCTGTTCTAATTTTTTAAAGGCCCCTATGTTACTGGAGCAATTGGGAGGCCGCCTCTTTGATGTTCGATGCAATTCGCCTCTGGTGGCCAAGTCCGAGGCAAATGAGTGTAGGGTTCAGGATTTAGGGTTTGGGGTCAGAGACTGGGTTCAAAAAAAGGGCGTAGGGTTTCAACACAGTCCTTTAATAACGTACTTCTCAGCCATGCAGGAGGCAAGCAAATAACGTGCTTCTCCGTTTCTGTCTTGTTTCAAAAGTTATTTAAGGATTCAGCAATTGTGATCTTCTAGCCATGAGTGCTATGTATTGCGTATCGCAAGCTGCAGCCAGTATTGTTCGTGTCCTCGGTGCGAGCTGGCATTGATGTTTTGGCAACACCTTAAGAGGGATTGACAGGCCCGGCCTGACTATGGGAGTTTCCACAATTAAGGTGTACCTCATCTTGGGCTCCTTATAATAAGGATCCTACTATTCAGGGTACTATATTAGGGTCCCCTATTTTCGGAAACTCCCATATGCGGCCTTTGACCACGACTTTTCCTTGGTAGCTCGTGACAATGTGTATGGCCACATATACCAGCAAAAAACTGGGTGCTGAGTATAAGACACCCACATTAGAGGTTTTGGGGTCAGAGCTCTAATGTTACAGTGGCACCAAAATTTCGGCTCAGGGCTCTCTTTGGGGGGTTGAAGGATTCAGGGTATAGAGGTACCCTAAACCCTAAACCCTAAACCCTTGTGAAAACAGAGGTATAAGCCCCGCATCCTGAGCCCAATATGAGATGTGGTAACATCACCGTAGCGTCGATCCCGGCCCCAGGCCCTAGGTTATTGTCTAAGGTTAGAAGTATGGGCCCCTAAAAGGGACCCTTAGGCCTTTCTAGGGGCCCTTAAGGGTACATATAGGGTATATAGTAGATGTATAAGGATCCCACGGTTAAGGGCCCAGACTGGGGGCCCATGGTTTCAACCTTAGTTTTTGTGGTCTTAGCGTATGAGGATAGAAGTATGGTGTACTACGGGGATGTGGTTGCATGCGATAGCGAATTGCAAAGGCCCGCGTTAATACCGGGCTGCAGGCATGTTACTTTGGAACTGTGTACCCTGTGAACAGCAAGAAGAGGTGGAAGTTTAGGATTTATGAAAGGGTGTAGGTTGTGTTGACACGTCCAGAAAGCACTGCAACAGTAGAAACCATACCCCTAAACTACAAGAGCCCTGTCATGCAGGACCACAGGTGGCTGCACAACAGGCCCTCAAGACACCAAGCCCCAAGAAACTCCGAAATTCAAGCACCAAAGAGGGGCTGAGGTCTTGATTCCTGGGGATCGCGACAGACCGCTTTCCCTAAACTCTTATAGAGCGAGAGGGAAAAAAGCAACTCTGAAGCCCTAAAAACAAAGGTTGAGAGCCGAAACTAAACCTTAAACCGGACGTCAGGCGCCTCCCGTCGCGAAGCGCCGCCGCACGTAAACAGGCGAGGCAGCCTGTGCAGAGGGGAACTTGCGAAATTGGCAGAAGCCCGGTTCTACCTACAGTCTCCATTGTGGTTCCTTTTTCTGGTTTAACCAATTATATATTAAGGATTCTATAAGGTATCCCCAAAAAGGAACTACAATGGAGACTATAGGTAGCATCTAGTTTCTTGATAGGTCACTGTCTCTACTAGACAATGGAGCAGCAACCCTTTGATGACGCTGAAACCTCTTATTGAAGTTGCTGGCCAGGTTGTTGTCGGTATTTGCACGATCAAACGTTCGATTTATCGAACCTGGTAAAGGGAACCCTCTAAAAAAAAACCCTACAAAACCCTGAAGTCCTAAACCCCAAAGTCCAAATCTGTGGAACATTAGGAGGATGTTTGGTCGCCTCGTCCTAACCCTGAATGGCAGTAGTAATAGCAAACCTGAGCCGGACATGGTTTAGGGTGTACGGTTTCGGAGGTTTAGGGCTTTTCGGTTTGATGGCTTTGGGGTTTTGATGGCTTTAGGGTTCAGGGTGTAGGAGTGGTCTTTGGGTAGATTGGCGGCGTTTGGAGTAGGGGATGCCAGGTGTTGGGCTGCATTGGAGCTCCCGAAAACCCCACCCCTTAGCACCGGACTCAGAACCCCAAACGAATCAAGGTGCAATACAGAGAATCGCTGGCTCCCCCGTGAACATGGCAACGGCCAGATTTTTAGTAGCCCTAAAAGGAAGCCCGCAAGAGGACGTGCTAGAAAACCTTACGATCTACCTGGCCTTTGAGAGCCTCAGTTTAAAGAGCTGCGAACGTGATGCCAGAGATGAATCCAGGCGCGTGCTCTGCTCTCCTCCACCAGCTGGTCTGAATCTGCTTTGCATCACGACTACTTCACCTCCGACACCCGCTGTTGAGGATACTACTACTACTACTACTACCAGGGTTTGGGGTTTAGGCAGAGGCCCCGGGGTTTCGCTCTTCACCTAATGCTGTGTTCCTACGGGTTAGGTCTTAAGGTTTGCCTAAACGGTCTTAAGATTTGCCTAAACCCCGAACCCAAGATCAGAGCGTGTATGTGATGCAGAGAGCTCGGAGAAAGAAGAAGGGCCCTGGCAGTGTGCAGCAGTTGTTCGAAATCTCGGCTACACCTTATGCCCAAAGCCCCTCAGGTTCTAATTCACCCTCTTAATTCCTGGTTATCCTCATGGCTGAATCGCTTGAAAGCAGGTCTTGAGCAGTGAAGATGTATGGTTTCGGGTACAAAAGAAGATGAACACTTTATGTTCGCTCTGGGTGTGTAGTCACGGCTTTGGCTGCGCCATAATTCCAGTGTCCACACAAAAAACAACAGGCGTGTATGCTGATCATAGTCATTTCTGCCCTCTCTACGGTGACATCCTCATTGTTTGGCTCAAGTAAAAGTGTTTTATCGCGTGGAGTCTCCTCGTCCCCTCTGTTCGCCATGAGCTTGCCAAACGGCATGATAGGGAAAGTCAGAGTGCCGCTCGAATGCGGTTGAAGCTCTTAGAGTGGGGACTCTCAGAATCTGTAAGGGTGTAGTGTAGGTTTGTGGATTCCAGCAAGCCCTAAAACTCCATTCCGACTTTCCTTCCGCCTTGAAGAGTAAGTTCCTTTGCCTTGAGGGTTCGTGGTGGGTCGGGGATCCTGTTCTGGTTGTGTTGGGTGTAAAACTACCAAGGGAAGAGTTTCACCTAAAGAGAGATGAGGAGCAGAAATGTCCACCTGTACTACTTGTAGCACAGTGGTATGTAGTACCGTAGACATACCGCCGCAGCAGCAAAAAAAAAGCAACACCAGCAACAACAGCCACGACAAACGTATTCACAATACCAGCAGCAACAACAACAGAGCGGAGCGACATTATGATACATGGTATAGCTGGATGGCCATGATGCCTGTTCTGACAACGGCATGATGACGCTGGAAGATGCTGAATGTAAGTTTCAGACAACCAAGGGACCCAAGTATAGACTCGGCATAGACGCTCAATGATTGCGAGGACTAGTGGGATTCTGGGAACCCTAAACCCTAAACCTCAAACCCTAAACCCTAAACCCTAGACCCGCAGCCCTAAACCCTAAACCCTAAACCTTAAAGAACCCAGTTTCAAGAAGCCGCCCTAGGAGCATCTCTGGTCGACGTAGGAACTCGTGAAGAAGAGCCCCGAAAGGATCCCCGGAGTTGCCTAGAAGGTAGGATGTGCTGATGTGGATGTAGAGGGTTTGGGGATTTTTTTCCTACTTTTCAGGGCTCTTAGGGTTTAGACCTGATAGGGATAGATAGGGATATAAGGCCCTCGACCTCTAAACCCTACACTGTCGCATCCTGCAAGAACCAGTCCTTGCTGTCAGTGGTCCGGATGTCCGTTTTGCAAGGAATGGGAATTTGAGCCCGTTTAGGCTTCCTCTTGGTTTTAGTGTTCCTTTAGGGGTTTTAGGGTTTACGCTTCCTTTCAGGGGTTCCTGTGAGGGCTTTAGGGTTTCGATTTGCTTCTTGACTTCCTTGAAGGGTCTGTATAAGGATTGCATGAGCGATTTCAGCCTAAACCCTAAACCCTAAACCCTTTAGGGCCTGCTATCGGCCTAAACAGGAACCTGGGTCTCTTGCGCCCCAAAGCCCAAAGCTCGCCGAGCACTGGATAACGGCACAGTTCGGTCTTGGGGGCCAAAAAGAGTTTCAAAACCATCCGAAACCCTGGGTTTAGGGTTTTGGCAGAGTCTGGGTTTAGGGTTTAGGCTTCGGGTTTAGGGTTTAGGTCTTAGGGTTTACGGTTCAGGGTACCCTGGGACCTCATTATGACCGTTAAACAAACCCAGCAGCTCACACCATCTGAGGGTCAACACCTTCATCGCTGCTCAGCTGCGCTTGGCTTCTTTTCACCGTGGTGGTGTAGGGTTTAGGGTAACCGCACCCCACCCGACCTACATAATTAAGCTTTTGAGGTTTAGGGGGCTTGGCTATGTAAGTTATTAGTCCTGGTCGGGTTTAGGGCCTTTGTGCCTGTGAGTTTCAGGTAAGGCCTGGTAGGCGGTGGAATTGCGACTCATCTAGTCGAGCACATCTAGCGCAGCGCGTGCCATAGAGTTATGTCAATGTTAGGCATGTCCTACCAGATTATCAGTGGCGTAATCTGTATTGCTAAACAGCATTCCACGCAGACTTGGTGCGAGTAGTGTGTAAGCTGAACTTAGGTTGAGCAGACCAGAGCCTTCGAGTCAGATGTGTGGTTGACAGCGAAATAGGTGGATCGGTGACCCGTACTGCCGGGATGTCAGTAGGATGATTTCGAGTAAAATGCAGTCCAGTCCCGGGACTGAGACACGAGCATCGACAAGTAGCATAGGTTCTGGTGCACGAGGAGCAAGGAGGATGATCCCCGGCAATCCCCAATCCCGGAGACCACACAACACCCAACCGCAAATATGCGCGCCCCCCACTTTGAACATCGTCTGCTGGCCATGCTACTGCAGAGTAAAAGCACGAGCATACTAATTACAGCATTCAGCTATGCGATAGAAACATGAATATACACCTTACAAGCACTGCTCCTAGCGCCTGAAACCCAGGACGTCGAAGAAACGGACGACGAGCAGTCAGAAGAGTTGCCCGTGGCGGGGATGAAGACAGAACCAGCACCGACTTTATGGGGAGGCCGCCGTTCAGTCTTCAGCGACGATGTCGCCTACAAGCTGAGTCCATAGCTGTAGATCTGGAAGCACCCGAAACAGCCCCAATTGGAAACCGATCGCTTCCTTGAGTCGGACTGTAACTTTTGAAGGTCCAATCAGAAGCTCTAAGCCCTCCGCCTGGCAACCCAGACCAATCAGACGTCGAAAGCAATCGCACCGTTTACAGAGTGTCGGTTTGAGGTTTCGAGGATTTTGCAGGCGGCATACGGTCTTGTAGCCTCAAGTGATGCGGCTTCAAAGGTTGGAAGTTTGAAGTTGACGAGCGGGGTTCGGTCGCCAATCTGAAAACTGGCACACTGTAGGGTAATGTAGGGGCCTTAATAATTAGCATAGGGTTTTGGGGTATATTATACTATAAGGAACCCCCAAAATAGTGTAGGCAACTATTAAGGTCCCTATAGTAGGCTCTAAGTGAGTGAGGAGACCCTGCCCTCAGACCCCCAAACCCCCAGTCCCTGCCATCTCCCAAAGCTTTACACCCCTGAATCCCTGATCCTCTAAGCCCGAAACGCAATCTTGCAGGACCCTGATTAAGAAACCTTGGCCCTAGATCTCAAATAGGTTAGGATTCAGATAACTAACCCTAAACCCTAAACCCCATAAAGAGCCCTAACAAAGACCCGGGATTTCTTAATCAGGTTCCAACATTCAGCCTTAAAGCCCCTGCCAGCGGGAGGACTGAACAGCCCACAATCGCGTGCCATATATCCAAACAGCACAGAACAGGAGCCGGAGGCGGGGGCTTAACATAGGTCGGACTTATCTGGGCTACGGTACTTTCTCACGTCATCTTGGACAGGTTTCTTAAAGGAGCCATTATGGAATACCTTGGGATGCTGTGCTTGGTCAGGTTTGTGTGGACCTGTTCCTTGAAGGAACCATCATGGCATGACGGCATATACCCTTTATTTATTTTTTTGGGGGGGGGGCTCCCTGGTTACTGCAAAGCGCAGTGGTCGTAGTACTGATGACTGGTAATCTCCGTGTAGTCACGCTGTTTAGTTACACCATAATCTACCCCAAGCCCTTGGCCTTAATGTAGATCGCAGCGGTGTTTGGAGCTCTTGCTTTCGGCATCTGGAGCTTTGCATCGGGCCTGCGGGGGCGAATCGGTCACTTTAGCCGTGGATGTCGTGGTCGGGTCTTCTCGGGTGTTGGGTGAGGTGGTAGGGTGTGGGGTCAACTGTCTTTCGTGTTTTTTCCGTCTGAGTATATCTTATGGCGGCTTCGGACCTTTCAGTTTATTGTGTAAATGTTCATCAGGAGTTCGTGCGCCAGTCTTGCTGCTTGAGGGTTTACTCAGC